GGGAAATAAGATTTGTTTTTCATTGCTTTTTTCAGATTTGTGAAAATAATCCAAAAAGATTAGCTGGTAGCAGTTCCAGTTATAAATTCTCTTTTCCTGACCCTTCCATCCAATGTCCTTCCTTGTTTTTAATTACAAAAGCAGGGTATGCATGTTGCAAAAATCACAGAAGATATACAGTGAAAAGCAGAAGCCCCTTTCCTATTCACCTTCCTCAAACCTACTCCCTTCCCCACCCCCTGCTAATGTTTGCATTTTAGTTTTTGTTTTTTTATTTTGAGAGAGACAGAGACAGTGTGAGCAGGGGAGGGGCACAGAGAGAGAGAGAGAGAGAGGGAGAGAGAGAAAGAGAGAGAATCTCAAGTAGGCTGTGCTCTCAGCACAGAGCCCAAGGCAAGCCTTGAACCCACGAACCATGAGATCATGACCTGAGCCGAAGTCAAGAGTTGGCAGCTTAACCACTGAGCCACCCAGGCTCCCCTAATATTTGCATTTTAATAGAGACAACCACCAAATCTTTTAAGATCCTAAGAGAAGGGATCTCAGAGGCACTGAGAATTAATGGTAATGATAATTGTAATAGTATACGGTAATAATAAACTAACATTTATGCAATGAATAATCATGCCAAACATTATGATTGCATTTAATATATATATTTTAAAATGTAATTTGTTCTAGTCGGGAGATCAGGGAGGTGTTTTGGAGCCTAGATCATCCTTAATCTCTCACATACCTGCAAATACTGCAGATAAGGCCCTGAAACCTTTCTTCTTTCTTAAACTCCCTCCTTCAGACCACAAGGAGGCTGCTTCAGCAACAAAGAGCATTCTGTATGCAGACATCCAGATTTTTTTTTAAATTGAAATCTGAATGTGGTAAGTCTGAACTAGGGGCTGGGGCATGATTAATTACAGCAATCATCTTAACCTGCCCAGGTGTTGGGCCTGAAAGAAATGAGGCCAGGCTGAATAGAAATTTGACTAAGGATAGGTAGGAATGCTAATAAAACTTTGTTAACTGTCCTCTCAGCTGACGCTGCACAGAGTTGGAGGATTTAAGGAATCAGTTTCTGTTTCACTGGTTGTGGTCGACCTCAGAATCAACTCCCTTGATTGCAAATAAACAGGATTTTCCTTTTTGTCTGCAGGAATGCAATGGAGGAAGAACTCTAGGGGAAAGGGCCTTTTCTGCCAGAGAATAATAATAACAAAGATGACAGTAGGAATAAAATATTGCCCTCTTCATCAAGGGTGATAAGGAAATGTCTAGTGGTAAGTAAGTGTTGAACCTTCTCACTCCCCATATGCAAGTGTTAGAGCTCCAGAATTCACAGGCTCGCCATTAGCAGCCCAGGTCTGATTTGAACTTTCTGTTCTGTAGTCCTCATGAGTACAGCATACAAATTGGGCTACATGTCTGAATTTTGGGTTCAGAAAATAGGATCACAATTTCAGGGCTTCTTGTTGAAATAGTACTGCAAATGTCACAGCACAAATCTTTCCTGAAGTGTATTGTATGTCTTAGCCATGTATACACCCAGTGCCTTGCACAGTGCCTGGTCCTTGGAAGCTGGGGCAGAGAAGTTGTGGGATAAAATGGGGTGAGGCAGGGGACCCCTGCAACTTACTCTCAATTGGCTGTTTGGAATGGGGGCAGGGAATTGGAGAAGAATCTGGATGACTGCATTAGCCTTCCCTTCCCCTCAGTACTTCTGGGGCTGAGGCAGAAAGAGTTGTGCTCAAGAAGAAGCCCCAACAAGATTTGTCTCTTCTGTTCACTTTGGTAAACTCCTTGTCTTCTGAAGGAATCATTTGTCTACCTCCTGGGCCAGCCTTATCTCAGTGTTCTTTTGTTTTCCCCCTTCCCAAAGGGAGGGCCATATTACCTGAAGAACTTTACCTTTGCTATTTCTTTCTCTCTCTCTTTTTTAAATGTTCATTTATTTTGAGAGAGAGTATGAGCCAGGGAAGGGCAGAGAGAGAGAGAGAGAAAATCCCAAACAGGGTCCAGGCCATCAGTGCAGAGCCCATCTCAGGGCTCAAACTCATGAACTGTGAGATCGTGACCTGAGCTGAAACCAAGAGTTGGATACTCAACCCACTGAGCCACCCAGGCACCCCTACCTTTGCTATTTCTATTTAATTTTCCTTTTTGTTCAAGAAGGTGATGAGGAGGTATAAGGATGTCCTCCATCCTCCCCTTCCAATCTTCTTTGGTCCAAATATCCAAATTCTTTCTCTCCTGCTCCTTTTCCCTCCTGTCCTTTTCTCTTCTCCCTTCCTCTTGTTCTTCTGTTCTGAAGATAACTTCCAAAGCTGAAGGGAATAAGGAGAGGTGAATCCAGTTTCTTTTTAGAGGAGCCCTCCCCCACTGCATTTAGCAAATTTCTACTCTGCTCAAGAACTTTCAGTAGCTCCGTATTGCCATCAGCTTAGATTTCAGACGTGAAGCCCACCTCAATCTGAGCTACCCTTATTTTTTGTGATTTCCCTAGTTATGTGGCCTCCTGGATGTATTCACCTGGTGGACACACACCAGGTGTTCACAAGAGTGTGCGGGGAGGCATTCTAGACAGAACAATTAAAAGCCAGGCAGAGGATGGGAGAAGTGGAGAAGGAGGCAGAAGAGATAAGGCATGATGGAATTATAAAAGATCTTGGGGTGGCTCAGTTGGTTAAGTGTCCGACTCTTGATTTCGGCTCAGATCATGATCTCACAGTTGTGAATTGGGCTGTGTGCTGACAGTGTGGAGCCTGCTTGGGATTATCTCTCTCTCCCTCTTTCTCTGCCTCTCCCCTGCTAGCACTCTGTCTCTCTTTTTCTCTCAAAAAAACAAAACAAAACAAAAAACAACCAAAAAACCAAAACAAAAAACAGTAAAATACAAACTTTAAAATATCTTGAGGGACATATTGGAGATTTGGGGCTGTATTATTATTAGTTGATGGGGAGCACTGAAAAATTTCAGGTAGGGTCAACTTGGGCTTTTAGAATGATCAACCCTAGGGCTATGTAGAGGAAGGAAAAATAGGGAGATCTGGAAAAGTAGAAAAGATCCCTGCCTACTTTGGCATCATTGGCAGGTAATGTTTGCAGAGCAATCTATGTTCAGAAGACAAAGCTGTGTATGAGTGCAGGGGCATGGATGAGATGACCTCAAGCACCCTCCTTGTGGGTGGTATGTGTATGCATTCCAATTTCATCTTTGAGTAGGTTTAAGCCTGTTTCCACATGTCCCTCCTGCCAGTCAGAGCCTTTCTAGGGAAGGTCAAGGTGAAAGGTGGGGAGGGCAGTAGGCCTGTCAGGGCCTGGGCCCACTTCCTCCTTTTTGGGCAGGGAAAGCAGACAAAAGTGGACAATAGACCAGAGAGGGTGTGTCCAGCAGAGAAGGAGAGAGGAGCATGAGGAGCTGGTCTGGGGGGCAGTAGATCTTGGAAGATTCCTTTGATCCCCCTTATCTCTGGAGGGCAAGCTTTCTTTTTTGGCCTGAAGGACCTTTTGTTGCAGCATTTCCTGGAACCCCCCAAAGTAAACACAGCCAAGTCTCTGTTCTTACAGCTCCACTGTGCTATGTGGCTTTTCCCAGCAGAGAGAGGGGCAGGCGGGTCAACACTCAGAGGTCACCACCATTCATTAGAATGCTGACAAGAAGGAAGGGCCCACATTACAATGTGTCGGCACCCAGCCCGAGAGACAATGATGATAGCCACAATATGCTTAACCATGATCATAATTATCATCAGCTGCACAAACGGGTTTCTAAGTGCTGTTTAGACGCATGGAACAATGAAAACAAAAACCCTGTGAATGCTCCCTCCACAGAGGTAGAAGCTACAATTATCAGTAGGTCTACTGAGTTGAGACCTGGAGCCTGGCATGCAGGACTTAGGCACCATTCACCAGGGACAAGGGAAAACTATACTCACTGGTATGGAGGGAGCAGGGGAGAGAGGTTGGTTAAGGCTGGGCTGGCTCTTAGCTGCAGTGGAAGGCTGGTGATAATGTGACATGAAGTATCTGGTAATAGCTTTGTGCATCCTGGGGATGGAGGCAGCAAGGCAAAAACTCACACGGAGAAAATCTGGTTCCTTTCAATTGAGGACAGGCATGAGCTGCCCACCCAGCTTGATGGAAGAGGCCTGTTGAAGGAGGCAGTAATGACCACCTCTCATTTCCAGCTGAGGGGAAGGAGGGGGGCGGGGAGCAGCGGTGGAGGAATTTGACCGCAAGGGTGACTTGTAGCATCACAAATACTTTTTCCCTGTGAGGAGGGAGAGAATAAGAGAAACTTGAAATTAGGGGACATCATTGATTCGTCTCCCCTAGGGTTTATTACTGTAAGCGGGGGTGCTTTTAGCTGAGCCAGCACTTTATTTATAGGGAAATTCAATTCCCCCTTCCTCCCACTACAAATGGAAACTCCGCCCATTAGGTGTCCTTCCAACCTCTCAACTTCCCCCTTCCCCTCGAAGTTGGGGAGGGGAGTTCGGGCCAAGAGGCCCCTTCTTCCCACAGTTGAGGACCGTTATGTAATCTGGATTGTGAAATACAGGAAAGGCCCGTTCTCCATGCCCCGGGGCTAACTGCTCCGTGGGGGCCCCCCTCATGGGAAGCCCTCCCCCCAACAGCCCGCCCCCCCCCCCCCCCCCCCCCCCCCCCCCCCGACTAATGCAGTAGAGCTCTGGGCGTGGAGTTTTTGGGGATGCTATTCCTGTTTCCCTGGCCTCCCAGGGAGCTATGGGGTCCTAGGGCGCCCGGGGGCCGCGGGGAAGTCAAGGGGTCATGCCATTTCGTCTGAGCGCGCAGCGCTGGGCAACACCTGTTGCGGAGCGTGGCGGGGCGGGGTTGGGGGAACAAGGCTCACCTGTGCGAGGGCCAGGCCAAGGGCTAGTGCCCCGCGAGAAGCTGAACCCAGGTCCGGACACCCGCCCGCGCCTCGGGCTTCCGCCGGGTCAGCTGACTATTTATTGCGGAACTGCGCGCCGGGCTGTGCCGCTCGCTGCTGCCGCGCTCTGTGTTCTGTGCCTGCGCTCAGCGTCGCGCGTTTGCCCGGTCGCCATGGCCGGGCTCGTGGTCAGTGGAACTCAAGTAAGTTCGCCAGGGACGAGTCCTGCCCTCGCTTGGGGCAACGGGTTTGGGGAGGGAATGCTGGGGCATGGGGCCATCCGAGGTTAGAATAAGGGTTCCTGGTTCAACCACAGGGGGTGCGTCTGCAGTTGGGGACTCTTTCACGTGTCTAGGCCTGCCGTGGTTTGATGAGGACAGGTCCCATTTGGGGCTTGGCACACCTCCTGGCTGTGGGGGAAGCAAGGGAAGGTAGCCCAGGTCTCCTCCACCTCCTTCTGTCTCTAGTGCTCATTGCTGGGGCCAGCAGGGATGATTTCTCCATCAGTCAGAGAAGCTGGCAGTGTCCACAGCTGATGGTACTTTTTGGGGCTGATAAAAAGTGTTCATTTCTTTCATAATCAGAAGAAAATTACTTTGGCCAAAGAACACTTTAATGTAATCGTCTTCATACTAATGAAATTGTAAACTCTAAATTTCAGGTGTTTTTTGTTTTGTTTTTTGAATGCACCGGGGATGGTGAAAGTACCCAGGGACCACCAAAGACGTGGAGATCATAATGTATTCGTGCAGGCGCCAGGTTTGGGGGCTCCCTTCCAAACTGCCTCCGGATCCTAAACATAGACCCCTTATTCAAGGCAGGTAGAAGGCTAAAGTTCTCCAGTTTTATTTCGGCACCTGATTTCTTTTTTTAGTTCTATATTATATAGTTGGCATACCATGTTACATTAGTTTCAGGTGTACAACATAGTGATTCTACAATTCTGTACATTATACTTTGCTCACCACTAGTGTGGTTACCATCTGTCCCCATATGACCTTATTTCAGTATTATTAGCTATATTCCCTGTGCTGTACTTTTCATCCCTGTGACTTATTTTATAGTTGGCAGTTTGTATTTCTTAATCCCCTTCGCTTGTTTTTGCCTCTCCTCCTCCCCCTCTGGCAACAACCAGTTTTCTGTATTTGAGTCCAGTTTTGTTTTTTGTTTGTTTTTTAGATTCCACATGTAAGCGAAATCATTGTATTTGTCTTGCTCGGACTGACTTCGCTTAGCATAATACCCTGTAGGTCCATCCATGTTGTCACAAATGGCAAGATCTCATTCAGCACCTGACTTCCTGTACAGGTGTCTGTGAGGAATGACAACATTCTTTTCAACTCTGGGTGACAGACACCTAGCCTCACTTGCTTTCAGCTCTGTAGTGAAGCCTCAGGTGTTCTTAGTCATTGCTGGAGGGATGCTGGGCCCAGGTGCCTTTAACCTTCTGGAAAAGCCAGGTCTGTCTTTTTTTAACCTCTGATTAAGCCAGCCCTCTTCCTACCTTTCCTTGCACACCCTAGAGAAATAGTCCTGAGGTTTTGAAGCTCTCCCCTTGGATTGCCTAAGGCAGGTAGTGTCAGGCACAGTTAGATTTTGAGATTACTTTGGGCAGATGTTTTCCTCTTCTCAGAGTTTGGAAGTGAGAAGGCCAGTGAGGTACCAGCCTGTGGGAAAGGTTGAAGGTGGCGGGTCTTATTTATCAGGGAAAAGGGGCTTTTGGGAGTTAACATGCCTGCCTAGAGGGAGGAGCTGGAGGAGAAGGCCTCTGCCCGAGAATATCTCCCCCCACCTCCTTCCCCACTGCCCCACTGCAGGTCTCTGCATTTCAGACCCAGCGTTCTTTGGGTATAGCTTCTTCCAGCTTCATGGAGGACTTGACAGTAGGGCTAAGAACTTTCCTGTGCCTCCTTCTCTCTTCCCTCGTTTCCCTGACTTGATTTCTTTTCCCCTGTGCATCCCTTGCTTTTAGCCCACTCCAAACTGCTCAAAGGTAATCACTGGCCTGTGTGAGGCATTTTGGGCCCTAGGGGACTGTTCTAAACAGATGGAGCTGCCTGGTAAGGACCAGAGAAGGCAGGCTGGAAAAAATACTCCTGGTGTTAGTCCCCCTTGTCCTAAAACACCTAGGCCAGTGGATGTGAGTGGCAACCCTGGGGTTTAGGGTCTTAGCATTCTGCCCCTTCTAGTTGCTAATGACGGCCATAGCAAGATGTAGTTCCTGAAATGTATGTCACATGGTACTTTTCAAAATTTGGTAGAGCCACCTTAAGGGGGGGTGGGGAACCTTCCCATGAACTCACTGTTGATAGTTTCTATTGCAGTGTTGGTTAAATACACAAACCTAAAACCAGATATAACTTTTTCTAAGTTGATAGAGACCTATCCCCCAAATAGATGGTTTAAGTGCAAAGACATAAGAACACCATGACACCACTAAAACAATTAAATGAGATGGATGATGCTGTTTTGCTGAAGTGTGGTCTCCTCTGCTTTCAGCCCACTGTGGGCTCACTGCTGTTGCCCTGGGTTTTGGGAGTTGCACGGGCCTATAAATAGCCCTCCCTCCACTCCTCTCTGTGAAGTCTTTTGATTCAACACAAATCTGACCTCATTTAGCCTTCTCTTGGTTTGAATGCCTCATTTATGTCAACATTGTCTTCAATTGTCTTTTTCCACTAGTTTAAGATGAAGTAGGGGCATCGATAAAATTGTATATACAAATGCAAACTTGGAATTTGGGCACACGATTTCAGTGCCCAAGAGACCAGAAAATAACCAATCCCTTTCTTAGGGATATTGGTCCGATTCAACTATTTATCAAGTGGCCACGAGGTGCTGAGGACAGTGCTGTGTACTTTAAATGTGTTATCTTCTCTCATTGCTGTAAGTAAGTTGAGGATAATATGTGACTGTTTCATGAGGATTGACTAGGTAACAGGTGGTAGGCATCTAATAAATGTAAGCTCCATTGTTTACACTTCTGGATGCAGTTAGTGTTAGACTAGTTTACAGAGGAGGAAACAAACTCCCTGGGATTGTGACCCATCCAGGATAACACAGCTAGTAAGTAGCGGCACAGGGTCTGTTTCCACTCTGACAGTTGTCAGTACTGCAAATTTAAAATTGAGGATCTCCCACCCCTGACTGGGGTCAGGCATCATAAAATAAGTGTCTCTCAGTCTACTAAGAAACCTACCATCCACAGAAATGGCCATACTGTCCTAACTGCAAGGAGAAACCTAGTCTCCCACAGTCTGGTAACTCCCGGTGGCTTCTGGTCGGAGGGATTAGTATGTGTATGTGTGGGGGATTTTGCACAGACCTCTTCCTTTGCCTCTCTGGTATTCCTCCTTGTAGGGTTCTTGATATGTTTTCATGTCCCTGGTAATAGTGTCCCTTTATTACCATTTCATGTAGGGTGGAAGTCTTGGGATACAGGTGCTATAAGATAGGCAGATGGAAAGTACAAAACTTTGTTCTTCAGTTGAGTCTAAATCAAAGTAATTGACTAAATGAAATGGCCCTTGGTCTGGATGTGCTCTTGCTTCTGTGGCATTGGGGTCTATTAATCTCCATTTCCCTTCTCTTCTTCAAGAAACAAACTATATTTGGTCTGGCTCTTCTGGCCTTGTTTCTTCCATTAGGTGGTCTGATGCTCCAAGAAGCTTCTTGACATCCTGAGACCTAAGGTCTTCAACTCGGGAGCACTTCTTTTTTTAAAAAATTTTTTTTTTCAACGTTTTTTATTTATTTTTGGGACAGAGAGAGACAGAGCATGAACGGGGGAGGGGCAGAGAGAGAGGGAGACACAGAATCGGAAGCAGGCTCCAGGCTCCGAGCCTTCAGCCCAGAGCCTGACGCGGGGCTCGAACTCACGGACCGCGAGATCGTGACCTGGCTGAAGTCGGACGCTTAACCGACTGCGCCACCCAGGCGCCCCGGGAGCACTTCTTAAACATGTTTGTCTTCTCATTGGGAGTGTTGGTTGCAGTGCCTGGCAGTGGCTGCTTGCTGCTTTAAGCCTTTTCCAGATGATTTGGACCCTTAAATGTGGTCAGCTTAACTCCCATCTCTAAATGCTCCAGTTTACTGTGTAGGGGTGGGGGGCAGTGGTGGTGGTGCTGGGTCCAAGCATGCAGATGGCTTATCAAGTTGGTTTTCATACTGCATTTTGGAGACTTGATCACTGTGGAACAAGTTGTGCTTTAGTTTTCCTGGGATGTCATGTGAGAAAACAAGCTGATGAAAGTCTTGTTAGGCATGTAAGTGGTGTGCATGCTTCATGGTGATAGCTCTCCTTGGTGTTTGTGTTGCCTCTGAAAGGGAATCCTATAGAAGAAAAAGGGGGAGCATATATCCCCCTGTCTGTGTTCTGACTCTGTTCTGGGGCTTTAGCCATGTTATCCTGAGGTAGTTTGCAACCTTTCAGCTAGGAAGTTGCATTTTTGAAGCCCGAACCTGCTGATAGATGCACCACTAGCATTTGTTGATGAAGAAAATCCATACCCACACGTGGAGTTGTAAGAACTCCATGGCACCCAAATTGGAAGTACCTATTCCTGGTGCAGGACTTCCTCCAGGCTTTATCATTAAGAAGCTATATAACACTGGGCATGGTGCTGAAGTCTCCCTTTCCTTGTAAAAAACATGATGGGTTTTGCGAAACTGGGTCTCTACCATATTTAGTCCTTGGTGAGTCTATAAGGACAAAGCTCAGTTTCTACATCTAAATCTCCACTTCTATGCCACTTATACAGATTATTCAAGATCTTTGTGATATAAGATGGTAGTGCATGATGGGGTGAAAGGGATAGGTTTTCTGGTGAGTACCTCAGGCCTGCAGGGTCACTGCGGTGTTCTGATACAGAAACTGCTGCTGATCAAGTGGGTATCCTGAGGGAAATTGAAGTCCATAGGCTGACTGAGGCCTTATATCCCCAGTCTCTTCTTGCTGTATGATTTCCATCTCTGCTTGGAAGCAGAACTTTGTTCCACAAGAAGTTCTGAGGAAAGACTGGTCCCCTGTAGAAAGGGGAGGTTGCTAGATTGAACCTAGAGACCTTTATTTTTTAGCCTTTATCTTCTTGAGTCCAAATTATCTTATTGGAGTCAGCTGTTTTTCTGTCCTTTCTCCCCCACTTTCTCTTCTCCAGATATGAAGTCCCTAGGGGAGTGAACACAAGATACTGTATTGCCAGCAGTTTGCCCCCATTGGATAGGATAGGGTTGAGGGAGGACTTGAAAAATTGGGGGTGTTAGGGTGCAGTGTGATTTTTTTTTTTTAATTAGGTCGAGTCCTAATGAAAGTGGTTTTTCTGTAGTTCTAGGATGGAATGCTAGTAATCCTCAATGTTCATCCTAATATCTAGAATTCGATATGGCCACCATATTCCTATTCCCCATTAGGAAGCATAATCCCCTGGGGAATCTTACTCATTCCAAGACATTCTTACCTGTATGTATAGGAGGATATGCATTTGTAGGGAGAAAGGGTCAAGACTGTAGTCCGTGTGATAGGGTTGAATTTCTACCTCGTCATTGGAGGTAGGGAGCCCTTTAGGGAAGTCTCCTATATTTTGATCCATTGGCCAACTCTCACCCATGGGTTTGTTTTGTGGGTTTTGGGATTAGTACACTGTGGTTGGATTGGCATCTACCTCTAAAAAGTGGGTTTCAAAAACCTAGTGGTTGGAGCAGTGAGCAAGCCCTCCAACCTTGCCACAGTCAGAAGTTCTGGCATCAAATTGCAGTTCAGCTTCTTAATATTTGGGCACACACTAGGTGGTTGATGGTGATGATATAAGAGAAGGCCTAAGGGGAATTGCTCTGCAGCCCTATTGGGGTTGGTTGCAGAAGGATCCCTGGAGGAGAGAGGCTTGGAAGCTGTGGCCACTGTTGTCCTGTCACCTTCAAGTCAACTTTGTTCAGAGTGTGGGGGATATTTTATACACCGTGGTATAAGATGGGATTGGTGATCTGGGGAGGTTTTCTTGTCCAACCCTGTTTGTTCCAGCGCCCTGCAGATTGAATGCCGGTGAGTGCATCTGCTCTGTCTTTTATGAGGTAATGTGCATAACAGAGTATTTGAGGGAGGGGGGATGGGGAGGAGAGCCAGAGGGGCAGCTGTTGGAAAGGTCTCTGAGCAAGAAGCTGATTGCTGTGATTATATCAATGTGTTCTGATGTGGGAGCCTTTTTGGACACCTGAATCCAGCCAATTTTAGTTCAGTTTCTGTTGTGCTGGGATTAGTCTCCATCATGCTAAGTGTACCAGGAAAGGCGAGCTATTGGCAGAGTCCCTGAAGCCCCCAAACCCGATTTGCTCAGGAAAAGGACACAAATGTGGCCTTCTTGTGTGTGAGGGGCGTGTGTTTAAAGTTGCGGAAGCAATCTTGGGATCAGTGACTCAGGGTTGGGAGCAGCTGGGCGATTTCCGTTTGCCACATTGTTTCTGTTCCATTTAATTTCCAGGTGTCCTACATAGGCCAGGACTGCAGAGAAATTCCAGAGCACCTCGGCAGGGATTGTGGACATTTTGCAAAAAGGCTTGATCTGAGTTTTAACCTTCTGAGGTATGTACCCTTCACAAGATACAGACCAGGCTGGGAGGCCCAGTCCCCTTGGTAACAGCCTGCAGGTAAAAGTTCCCATCCAGCTCTGCATAGGGTGTGGGGCTCTGAGATGTGTGGAATCCGACCCCAAAAGTGTGACTATGCTTCAGATGATTCTTTGGTTAGCCTCTTTGTGCCACTGAAAAAGCTGTGTGTGGACATCCTCCACCTCACCTGAGGTCCTATAAGAGGACCGTCATTGTGTCCCTTTGTTCTTTTCCTTTCTCACTGATACCATGTAGATGAGTTAGAATACTCTTGGGGAAGGAATGGGATGGAACCAGTAAGAGCATTTTGGGGTGCCCCATCTCCCGAAGATTTGCCAAATCACAGGTAGGGTGTGTATATGCGTGCTTCTTTTTTTCTTTTTAAATGAATTGGAACCTCAAATATTTGTGATTTCTCCCCGATGACATCCAATCCCAGATGGAATTACTACTCCCAGAGTAATTCAAACACTGATGGCATGGGACAGGGGGAGGGGAACTCTAACAACTGCTTCAGTCTTGGCAAAAGCTAAGTGTTATCTTCTATATTATTCCATTGGAAAATGCAGATGGTTCCTTGATTTCTTCATAGAAGGTTACCACTTGGGACTGGTTTGGGGGCTTGGAAGAGGGAAGTGAGAGGAACTTGGAAAGCAGATATCAGGGAAATGAATAAATGAGCAGGGTTCAGGATGGTGGCTTTTCCTAATGAGCTGGTTCCATGCCGGATTTTTCTCATAAGTGTCCCCTTGAGAACTGTGCTGTCCTCTGAATGGAACAGACTGTTGTGGGGTGGAAGGCGAGAGGGGACTCGGGCACATTCATGCTTCCATGCTCTGGAGTCTTTCTCTCCCAGACTTTGAGTCCAGACACTTGGAATTGAGAATTTGAGAGAAGATGGACAAAACTCAGGTGATTAAGGCACCAGCGGGTTGAGGGGACTTTGAGCCAACAGAGCCTTTTGGGCTGGTACTCCCAGAGATGCACTGTCTTCAGGGAAGGGGCATCCAGGGTGTTAAGAAGAACGTGGACACTGTGTATATGCTCTCTCTGACTCCCAAAGGGTTTGTGTGCTTCTGGGAAGATGGGGGAACTGAAAAGTCACAAACTAACATGTAGTGATGAGAGGGTGCCAAAGAAAAAAAACTGACTCTAAAGATATTTAAGGATGATTTTTGGTCCCAGTACCCAAGGAGAAGACCAAGTACACAGCCTGGACATGTGTGCACCTTAAAAAGTTCCCCATTGCAGACTCTGGGAAAGCGTTTCTTTGGGCATTGGAGGGACTTCTTTCTGTGTGACTGGCTTCTAGAGGCTTGGGGTGTTGTGGCTCTGGCCACTGCCACCTTGCTGGTGGGAGCCTGGATGTGGGTTGGAGGAGGCTGTGCCCCATGAGGGAGCATGTCAGCAGGGACAGGTCATGGGACTGGGCTGTCAGGTCTAAGGAAACAGAGCTGTCTTTGTCAAACTCGGAGGCCCTGCCTTGCCTCCCTTTGGCAGAGAAGAGGCTGGACCCTGGGAGTGGTAGGGGTGTGTGTGTGTGGGTGTGGGTGTGTGTGTTGAGCAGGGTCAGCAGTGAGAAGGGGCTCTGAGGGTCTGGATCTATAAGGATTTGAAGGAAATGACCAGTCATAGAGGCAGGGTAATACAGTGAGAGGAAGTTTGGTAAAAACGATTTGGAAGGAGGGGAGTTGTGAATTTGATTCTCCTTTGTTGAGAAAATTTCTGTTGAGTTGAGGTGCTATCCCATTTGGTCAGGAGCCTATACTTGGCAGATGGTCAGTGCCATACTGGGGTATAACTGGATTGGGGCAGGGATGAGCAATGGAGGGGTGAGGTCTAAGTTTCAGGAAGAGTTTATGTGAGGACTTGGTTAAGCTGGAGGGACTTAGAGACCAGAATAGAGAAAAGCAGTCCTGATTTAATGTGGATGTGTTGGGGCTGGATCCTCTTTGTCTTGTTTACACAAGGGCGGGTGGGTTAGGGGATGCGACACTACCTTCTCTTGGGTGTTGGAGGAAGATGTGAGCTTATTCAAGCACTGGTCTCTATCTCTGTCTTCATCTGGATCAAAATAAAATATTTTAGATTCTTAATTTTTAAGTGTATTTATTGAGAGAGACAGACAGTCTAAGCCGGGGAGGGGCAGAAAGAGAATAAATGAACCCCAAGCAGACTCTGTGCTATTAGCATAGAGCCTGATGTGGGGCTTGAGCTCAGGAAACCATGAGATCATGACCTGATGTGAAACCACGAGTCAAAGGCTTAACCGACTGAGCCACCCAGGTACCCCATATTCTTGGCTAATTCTTAAAGTGGAGGAGGTGAGAGAAAAGGGGAAGGGAAAAAGAAAGATGATGATAAACTTCTAAATAGGTATATAACAGAGGACCCAAAGCCCACCAGGCTGTAGGGCTCATCCTATCCAAATGAAATAACGTGAGTCCCCATCACATTCTGTAGAAAGTTTCTCCCTAGCCCTGCCTTGCTGTTTGCATGGGATCTGGGGAGCGTACTACCTGGTCAGTTTGCCCGCACCTGGATTCACAATCACTCTCTGCTCTGTTGTCTGCTGTTTTACCTCTTGGCAGTCTATTCAAGATACTGCCCCCTCTCAAGACATTCCCTTCATTTCTCCCAAGCCCAACACAGCATTACTATGTGTAATATAGTAGTACTTTTACTACCAGTTCAAGGTATACTGGGGGGAGGTAGGTAGTATTGTAGCACATGGCAGGAGACAAGCTTGGGCTAGCATTGTACCTGGAAAGCTTTTAGGTGCTCTGTTGCCAGAATTTTTCCCTGGTTGCAGCTCTCCTTCAGGTCAGGCTTCTTGCAGGTGACCAGGTGCCTATCCCAGCCTGTTTCTCACTTTTCCATGTCACTTACCCTCTTCATAGAGCTGCCCTCGGAAACCCAAAATTCTTTTTGCTTTGTTATATACAGAAAAATTATTGTCCTGTTCTTTAAAGAACATCTCTGCAGGCTTCACTCCCACCCCCCATCCAGATAATCCTATTACAGTATTACCTTAAACAGAGCAATAACCCTAATACAAATTTTGCTACACCATAGGTCCCCAAATCAGCTGTAGTCCGCCTGTATTTTAGGCTATCGTTTGTTTTTAGGCAAGGAATTCTATTCATTTTCTTAATAGTTAATGTAGGCATGTGGCATAGGGTTTAGAAGGAGCAAACATGTAAACGGGGGTGAGGGGGTGGGGGGTTGGTGGTGGAATTCTTCACATGTAGTTACTTTAGCCTCCCAGTTCTCCTCTGCCCTGCTGTTTTTGATTTGGTCCCAGGGTTGTGGAATCTAGCCCTGTGCTGGGTGTGGAGCCTGCTTGAGATTCTCTGCTTCTTCCTCTGCCCCTCTCCCCCTGGCTTGTGTTCTTTCTCTAAAACAGAATAAAATAAAAACATGGTCAGTATAGGCATGTTAAACTCGGGTATGAGGAAACACTTTCTTTCAAATCCCTGATAATCTTAGCACTGGAAGTCACCATTGCTGATGTTTTATTGTCTTCCAATCTTATTTATTTGTTTTTTTAGAGAGATTTTTGAACTTTTTCTTTTTTTGTTTTATTTTTTTTCAGTATATGAAGTTTATTGTCAAATTGGTTTCCATACAACACCCAGTGCTCATCCCGAAAGGTGCCCTCCTCAATACCCATCACCCACCCTCCCCTCCCTCCCACCCCCATCAACCCTCAGTTTGTTCTCAGTTTTTAAGAGTCTCTTATGCTTTTGTCTTCCAATCTTATAATGCCAAATGTCTAAAAATGGTGGTGGTGTTTACCTTGTGTTGGAAGCATTTTCCTATCAATACTGCATTACAGTTTTTTTAAAGGCTTATTTCTTAGTGTTGGACATTTAGATTGTTTCCAGATTCTTACTATTAAAAATATCTCTATTCTTGTAGCACTCATGAATAGGTCTCTGACTAATTTCTTGGGACAAACTCCTAGAGACAGCATTGTCAGAGGGCTTTGACAAAGATGTCAGATTGCCCTTGAGAGGTTATACCAATTTCTGCTACGAAGACTATTTGAATACCTATTATCCCAAACTCTTCCTTGAGCTTGTTGTTGAGGTTTTCAGATTATATTTTTAGATCAATAAGGAGATCCTATGCTTTAGTCAGTGCTGGTTCCTTGATCTGCTCAAGGCAAAGATCTCTTGTTAATGAGTTGTTTCGGGTTTAGTTTCTCCTTTTCCCTGATGGGGAAAGGCTCGAGTTATCCCTGGTACTCCTCCCACTCCCTGCAAGGGCCCTGAGTAGTTTGAGTGGGTTGCTCGCTGAGCTTGTTGAACACCGTGGGCAGAGCAGGGCTCGCATGGCAAGTGGTGATAAATACACCTATGTCATTCTGGTAATAACATTGAGAGGGTTTAATTGATGTATGGCAACAGGAATCTTAGGTTTTAAAAATTGTACTTGTGTCTTATTTAGCATCACTCTGATAAATGCACTCAATGGGAGAATTGCTTAGGAGAAAATGTCTCAGGTGGGAGATTGCTTGTTGCTTCCCTGACTTTGACCAGGATAAAAGTGAAAGACTGGGGAGTTGGGGAAGCTCCAGTACCGAAATGGTGGCTCTGTGCTCCCCATCTCCACCAAGGCAGTGAGGTGGACTCTCCACGGCACACTGTACGGGATTCGAGGACAGGCACACAACCGTTTCTGTGTCTGTTATGAACTGCTAGATTAAACTAGATCTGGTAACTTGATGCTAAATTGGGAAAATGGGCAGTGGAAATTAAAAAGAACCAACGCTTTGTGGTTCCACCACCCTGGCTTGAAATCCTTCTCTCGAATTACTCCCCAGTTGTTTAACTGCCCTTAGGCTAATTGCAAGAATCCTGAGTGTGTAACTGTGTAAAGTGCCTAACAAATTACCTGGCACATAGTAGGTCTTCAATAAGCATAGCTACAGTTAGAACTAAAACGTGTTGGTGGGGAGGCTGAAAGCCT